GACACCTGCCCTGACATTTCCCGAAAGAGAAGACACCCTCCGGATGATGAGGTGAGTTCCTGCCTCGCTGGGAGATGCCACTTCTGAGCCAGCTGCTCCCTTCTTCTCCTTTCTGCATTTTCAGTCCTTTCCAAGGCAAAGGTGGAATGCCAGCAGAGACCATGGGTCTCAGGACGATGTTTTGCCTCTGCGTATACATTTCTTTCTCCTTATAACCCTCAGCTATCCCAAGACTCACCAGAACAGGAGGCAAGCAAGAGTCCACGGGGAGGCGTTCCGGGGAGTGGAGAAGCCTCACTGCCTACCGAGGGGAATCCGCAGATGTCTCTTCAGAGCCCCACATCTATCGCCGGCTATAGCCAGGTAGGAAGCAGAGTCACAGGGGGCAGAGGATGGATGGTTGGATAGATTCAGATATCTCCCTGTTCAGAATTATGTGTCGAGTATCTGTGATCTATTAGGCAGATAAATTGGGAAAGAAGGGGAAGCAAAAGAGGGAAACCAAGAGAGAGAGAAGGAAAGAGAGAGAAAGGCATAGCTGAACTTTGAGAAAAATCAGGAAAAAAAGTGGTGAGAAGAGAAGAAGGGAAACAAGCACGGATGTAACATGGGAAAAGGACATTTGAAGAAATGAGAATGATGAGAGAAAGAGGCTAGATTTAAGACAAGAACTAATGAGAAAAGAAGGAGAAAATGATGCTGAGTCATTGAAGAGTTAGGAGAGAATTAAGAGGACAGGCAGGAGAGCCTGGTGACCACTGAAGGGCTGTATTGGCCCCTCAGCTGGGACACGGTTCAGGACTTTCTTCCCTGTTTTTGCAGGGCACGGGATCTGTGGATGGCGGAGCAGTGGCAGCAGGGGCTTCAGGCCGAGAAAGTGCTGAGGGTCCCCCTCCCCTCTATAACACCAACCATGACTTCAAGTTCTCCTACTCAGAGATCAATTTTCAGGATCTAAGCTGGTCCTTCCGCAACCTCTACAAATCTATGCTGGAGAAATCCTCCTCTTCCTCTCAGCACGGTGAGTCTGGAGCTGGGATGGGTGCACGGACGTCCTTCTACTTTTGGGCAATTGGTGACCTTCTCTTCTCTCTGTTATTTCTTATTTTTAACACAAGGAGAAATTGATCACTGATCAGAGGAAATATTTCATGAACTAAAACTATTTGGAGTTGAGTGAGCTCATCTACCCTTGTGAAAGGACAGCTGTTTCAGAAGGTGGGCTGGGTTGTCAGCTTCAGAAAGTGAGTTGGAGGAGTGCCCCTTCTAGAACTAAGGGCAGTGATTTTATGGCTGCAAGCAAGTCATTTAAGGGATGAGCCCTAGGGGGCAGCAGCAGTACACTTTCCCCAAGAATCCTACTGCTACGTTATGAGAAGAGTTTTTTAGTGTATTTATATTTATGTTACTTTATATTATGAAAAATTTCAAACAGATGCAAAAGTACAGAGAAGAGTATAATAAACTCCCATGTTCTATCACCCAACTTTAACAGTTACCAATATTTTGTTAAGCTTGTTTCACTTACCACCTAGCATTTTAAGAATTGGAATAATTGAATGCAGTTCACAGGCATCATGTCATTCCACACATAAATACAATTTCAGCATGCATTTCTAAATGATGAAGACTTTTCTTTTTTAGATATAGGGTACTTACTCTGTCATCCAGGCTGGAAAACAGTGGCAAGATCATAACTCACTATAACCTCTAACTCTTT